GGACGCTCAAGCAGCCCTATGAATTATTCCACGTGGTGGGAGACTGAGGTCTTCTGCCAGCAGCCAGCCCCAGTGTGTCACTTACGTTAGGTGATGGATGTGTGTTAGGCTTCCCTGGTGACGCAGACAGCTTACAGCCTGCCATGTGGGAGACCCGGGTTCGATCCCTGAAGATCCCCTGGAGAAGGGAATGGCAGTTCACTCTTAATATTCTTGCCTGGAGAATCCCATGGACAGAGGAGCCTGGTGTGCCACAGTCCATGGGATTTCAAAGACTCCACATGACTGAGTGACTAACACTTTCACTTTCTCTTAACTTGGAAGCAGAGCCTCAGGCCAGTCAAGCCTACTTCAGATGACAGCAGCCCTGACCAATGTCTTGGCAATAATCTTTTGAGAAACCTCAAGTGTGAACCATCCAGATAAGCCACTCCTGCATTCCTTTCCCACAGAAACTGTGAGATAACAAATGTTTATTGTTGCCTAAAACAAAGAAGAAGAAACCACTGGCTAATCTTCCTTATTCCAGAAATGTTATAGTTTTAGCTCTTATATTTAAGTCTGTGATTCATTTTGCTTTGATTTTTGATTATGGAGTGAGGTAAGGGTCTAAGTTTATCTTTTTTGCACATGATATCCAGTCATGTCAGCACCATTTGTTGAAAAGAAATTCCTTACTGAATTGCTAAGGCTTAGAATCAAATAGTAAATTTGCGAAGACTTGTGGAATGCATTGAATCTTATTCATAAAGACTGACTTTCAAGCATTTTTATTTATCATGTATTTTATATTTTTACAGCATAATAGTAATTACATTTTTTAAAAATTACATGAAAATTACACACTGAAATTATTAATTCATGGGCTGTTTTTCCTTCTGTTAAATCCTAATTTATTACATTTAGGTTAGTACATATCTGACTGTTCTAGAATATCTTGTAGATAATCCTTCCTAAGCATTTATTTATTGAAAACATATTTTCTTATAAAAAAAAAGGTCCCATTATCTTTCCTTTATATTCCAATTAAGGTAACAATATTTAGTCTCTTAAATTATGTGTGTAGGTAAATCATAGTATCTATACCTTTATTTCAGGATAGCAGAGTATGTGAGGAATACTTGTTATGAAAAAGGGGTGTTCAGGCTATTGGGCTGAGATTTCCCGTGATAGTGAGGCTCAGGAACGGAGGCAGATCTGCCCCTCCCCAACTGAAAACCAATCCAGCTTGCTCAACCTGGGAATCCTGGATTCTGTTTCTTTATCGACCAGTTATCCCCTGACCAATGCCTTTGAAGAACACAGATCCAGAAGTGGTGCCACGTAGCCAGCACTTTGGAAGCCAACTTGGGCTTCATTTTTACCAGATAGAACACACCGTGGAAAACACGGGACAATTTTAAAACAATACAAAGCAACACTGCCGACCAGCACAGCAGCTTTTGAAAATAACCAGCAGCTAACGTAGCATTTGGCACACCAGGAGGCACTCACCTCCAGGTGTGATGTGTGTCATCGGACTCCGGGTATGAATCTGTTATCAAACGCAAGTCTGTGTGCTCAGAGCAAGTGAGGCCAGACAAGACCAAAACGTCAGAGTTTGGAGGAAAGAGAGGTTTACTGCAGGGCCATGCAAAGTTGCTTATGCCTTAAAAACCCCCAACTCCCAGAAAGCTTTCAGCCAAGCCCTTTTATAGGGAAGGGTGGGGAGTCGTGGTTAGTTGTTGCAGACATCTTGGTGTCAGATCATTTGTTCTTAAGGTCAGGTCATAGTCAGGTCATCATGTTGCTGTAAACCTCCACCAGAGCAAATATTATTCTCTGTTCTGACAAAGGGCAAAGTGCTAAGGCTCAACTTCTGCCCAGGCTAAGAGGAGGGGACCCTGCGCAGGCCCCTTTCTCTGCCTGGGAGCACTGGTCCAGCACCTAGGCAGTGTCCTTGCACCAGTGCCCAGGCCCTGCTGAAGAGGCAGATCTTAGCTGGTGGGGCACTCCGGGGCCGGTCCCCAGAGCCTGCCCAGCCGTCGTCACTGAGGGAGCCAGGCGCCCAGGACCCAGCCAGCCCTTGGGCTTTTCATTTAAACCAGAGTGAATCATTTGTTTAGGATAAGTGGGAATACGTGTTGTAGCAAATGCCCATCAGGTTAGTTTCCAGCTCACAGCAGTTGCCCTTCTTTGAGAAAAGCTCCAACCACAGAGGTGGACCTGAAGTCGTGATGGGCAGTATCATTGCAGCTTAACCCTGACCTCTGCCACTTCCTAGGGGGTAGACAGCTGATCTCAGCTGTATCAGTTTTTGAAATGTGAATGGAGAGACTGAAGCTGGTTGAAGCTTTATTAAGTGCATGGCACTTAATGGCAGTGCCATGGAGCTCTGGAGCTTTGCGGGACGCAGCCCTCAGCCTGTCCCTAGAGCCCCCAGCACACTCGCCGGCCCCTAAGAGAAGGCCTCTCACCTCTCACCCACTCTCCGCCTTGAGGACTGCTGCCCAGTTGAGAATTGGCAAACATAGGGTCCCATGCCCCGCCCCTTATTACAAATCCAGGTCCCACCACTGAATAGTCAAGGGACTTTGGGCAATTTCATGACCATTGAGAGTCTTAAGTTCCTCATCTCTAAAGTGGGGAAAAAATTAGTATCTGCCTCATGAGAATGAAATGAGACAATGAACATAAAGCAGCATAGAATAAGTACTCAATAAATATTAACCCTTATAATAACCAACTTTATTAAGAAGATAAAATACAAAAGCCTCAAGGGCAAATCACCTTGATAGAAATGAAACAAAAGACTCAACAAAGTCTTTGCCTGCAAAGGGAAACAGGCAAGGGAGAGGGACTTTAGAGCCAGCAGCACAGGTAAGGGCAAACATAGTATGTGCTTAGTAAATATTGGTGGAACAAGTGAGCTCAAGGGAAGTAAGATGTTGGATGTCACCTGCTCTCCTCCCCAGAACAAGTCATGTGCAGCATTTCCTTGAGAAACAGGAAGTCTGAATGGGGCAGATTTGACATCATGATGGTGGTTCAATTAAACAGAACAATTTGGCACCTACCCAGAAGCCAGACCTTCTGCTTGAATGAGTAAGAACTCATTTGTGGAATTCCAGGCTCCTTATGTAAACTCAGCCCTACCTTGTTGTAGTATTTGGTACCAGTTTTCATTAGCATAGGGGTGAGCCCCTGCCTGTCACCTGGGAGACCGGGTTCGATTCCCCACGGGAAGGCAACATGCCCTTTTTGGGCTTCCCAGTCATAAAGAACCTGCCTGCCAATGCAGGAGACATAAGAGACGAGGGTTCGATCCCTGGGTCAGGAAGATCCTCTGGAGGAGGAAATGGCAACTTTGCCTAGAAAAATCCCATGGACAGAGGATCCTGGCAGGATACAAACTATGGGGTCACAAAGACTGAAGTGACTTAGCAGTGTGGTAGGCGTTATCATACTGACACTTCACAACAATTCTTTGCCATGGGAGTTATCACTTCCCTTTTATAGATGAGAAACAGAGGATTAGAGTGATTAAGTCGTTTGTCGTTCAGCCACCAAGTCATGTCTGACTCTTGGCCACCCCGTGGACTGCAGCAGGCCAGGCCTCTCTGGCCCTCACCATCTCCCAGAGTTCGCTCAAGTTCGTGTCCATTGAATCGGTGATGCCATCCAACCATCTCATCCTCTGCTGTCCTCTTCTCCTTTTGCCTTCAGCCTTTACCGGCATGAGGGTCTTTTTCAGTGAGTTGGCTGTTCACATCAGGTGGCCAAAGTATTGGAGCTTCAGCTTCAGCATCAGTCCTTCCTGTTTATTGAAGGTCAAACAGCCAGTAAATAGTAGAGCCGAGATTCAGACCAAGCTCCTCTCACCGAGACTATAGTTCTTGACAGGCTACAGCCACGGAGTCGTGAAGATTTGGACACGACTGAGTGATTAAGCACACAAACACACATAGCTCCTCTAGGGTTATGGGAACCTAGAAGAAGAAATGGTCAATTTTCCCTGGAGTTTACTTGGAAATACTTCACTGAGATAATTAAAACAAAAAAAAAAGACAAACAAGTGGTTCCCGAGGGTCTATTGTGTACCAGGCACTGTGCTTATCTTACTGATTGTAGTAATGACCTTGTGAGGTGGTGGCATTTAACAGATGGGGAGATTTAACTGATGAGGAAGTAGGCTCAGGAAGCTAGGGTCAGTCAGGTCTTAAATGTGTATGTCACTCCCACTAAATCTGTGATGTGGCCCATGAGGCAACACAAGCTCCTTCTCACATCCACTGAGGATACAGCTTTGTACCACACTTTCCAGTTTCTGAACTGCTTTACACAACCTCTCTGCCCTGTGAGAAAGGAAAAACAGTTCCTTCTCATCTGTATCTGCTGATGAAACAAGAGAGGCCTGGGGAGGTTCCAGCCCCCTGCTTAGGGCCCATCCTCCTTGCACTTCTCTGGTAATACTCCTTATCCCTAACCCCTTCTCCATGAAGCCCTGTATGAAGGGTCTCTGTGCACAGCTGTTACCAATTTTGTTCTTATCTATAAGCATCTGTGTGTCTGACTCCCCTGCTTATGAACCTCTATAGGGCAAAGATTGCTTAATCATCGCTCAGGATTTTGGCCTCAGTATTTTTGTACCATGATCCTCTTTTATTAGTATTAACCATTCTCAGCATAACTTTAAAATATTTTCCTTAAGAAGGCAGTGTGCCTGCTGTGGTTCCCATCCTTTGGGATTCGGGAACCTCTACCCAATCCTTCATTCAGATCTTTCATCTAGATTCTTCCTAAAGCTGTCATCCATACATGCCTTCTAGAATTTCATAGGATGTATAAGCCCTCAGGAAGCCAGTCAGTCGCCCTTTACAAGTATGGTCGCAGTTGCCTCACTTCCTGGGTCATGTGACACTCCCATGGTCTCACGTGACTCGCTCCATTATGCCGGAATTAACCCGCAGAGCTAATCTGGTGTGTGTAGCTATCACAGGCCCCTGCATCCCTGTTTTTAGTTGATCCTCTATCCCTCCGAAGTTTGGGAACCCCAACGTCTTCTTGCCTGGTGATGGAGCTTTCAAGTCCTTCCAGAGAGGTGAGTGGGGACAAGGCTTCTAATTGGTCTTGTCATGTACTTTCTGGAATTCTGGCTAACCGGGCTCTGGAATTCAATCAATGACAGGCTCTCCCTGAAGCAGGTCATCATGCCTTTTTGATGGAGGGAAGGTGGGATCGAAGGAGAAATGGTTGGGAAGAGGGGCGCAGGAGGGTCCTGCTTGGGGTGGGCAGAGAGCTATTACTAGCAGAGAGCTTGGAGGGAGGGCTGGATCCAGGTGTCTGTGGGCTGTGTTCCATTCTGTTTAAGGTGGGAGCCTATAGGCAGCCAAGTTCTGCAGGAGAGTAGGGGAGAGGTGGAGAGGGGCTTGCCTTCTAGCCTCTCCTCATTGTGTTCTCAGGAGTGTCCTATGCCTCGGGGCAGAGCAGAAATCATGGCTGCCAGCCTCATGGGATTACTTCTGCTTCACACAGTGTCGTGCGTATCAGGTAAGTGAGTCAGAGAGAAGGGAAGGAGCCCCCAGGCCCCCTTCTGCCACATGGTCTTTGGCAGTCTCCGGCATACTGGTGGTGGACTTAAGTAGATGCTCAGTAAATCCTTTTGTATGACTGAGAGCACCAGTGGGGTGGGGGTACAGCGAGATAATTCTTTAAAATATTTATTTATTATTTACTTGTCTGAGTTGGGTCTTTGTTGTGGCATGTGGGATCTAGTTTCCTGACCAGGGATCAAACCCCTGCCCCTTGCATTGGGAGCTCAGACTCTTAGCCACTGGACTGCCAGGGAGGCCCAAGAATTTTTGAAACCAGTATTTAGTCTTTCTTTGCAACTAGTATGTCCCTTCTCCTCATCCTCATCCTTCAGCCCTTGCCTCTCGTGTGCTCCGTTCCTGCCAGGTGCCTGCCCCTGCAGCCCTAAAAGCTTTGGCTACAGCTCTGTGGTGTGTGTCTGCAATGCTACATACTGTGATTCTCTTGACCCCTTGACCCTGCCTGACCCTGGCAACTTCAGCCGCTTTGAGAGCACACGCAGCGGGCGCCGAATGGAGCTGAGTCTGGGGACCTTCCAGGCCAATCGCACAGGCACAGGTAACCACCCCTCACCCAGGCTATGGTCCTTCTGGAGCCCAGTCGTGCCAGCGATTAGCATGGAGTTTCTCCCCTGTGCGCTGACGGCTTTTATTCCCTGCGGATGTCCCCAGGGTTGCTGTTGACCCTGCAGCCAGATCAGAAGTTCCAGAAAGTGAAGGGATTTGGAGGGGCCATGACAGATGCTGCTGCCCTCAACATCCTTGCCCTGTCACCTGCTGCACGGAATCTGCTACTCAAATCGTACTTCTCTGAAGAAGGTGAGGAGGAAAGGGACAGGATGACATAATGCAGTTGACACTCTGACCTTTCCTTTGACCCTAACATCCACCCATCCCTGACATTTGGGTCTTTGTTAATGCCCAGGGGGAAAAAAATTGTCCTATCCATCCGCTGAGTGCGAGGGGCCTCCAGCTCAGACAGTCTGCCCTTTACCCTGTACCCAAGTTCCCTTTGGCCCTGACTCAGGAATTTCTGCAGGAATTGAATACAATATCATCCGGGTCCCCATGGCAAGCTGTGACTTCTCCATCCGCACCTATACCTATGACGACAGCCCTGATGACTTCCAGTTGCTCAACTTCAGCCTTCCAGAGGAAGATGTCAAGCTCAAGGTGGGCACTCTGGCTGCCTCAGGCCCCAGCAGCATTGATGCCTGGTGGTTGAGGGGCCTTAGGCTAGAGCAGTTTGCAGAGAGACATAGAACTTGCCCCTGCCCTCACTTGGGATGGAAGGGTAGAGGCTGATGGCTAGGCCAGATACACTGGTTGGGCCAGTCTGTTTATCTTCCAACTCTGGGTGTCTCTCCTCACCACCTTTGTTTCCAGATACCACTGATTCACCAAGCTCTGGAGTTGGCCAACCGCTCTGTCTCACTCTTTGCCAGTCCCTGGACATCACCCACTTGGCTCAAGACCAATGGGGCCGTGAATGGGAAGGGGACACTCAAGGGCCAGCCAGGGAATCTCTACCACAAGACCTGGGCCAGATACTTTGTCAAGTAAGGAAACAGCAGGGCCATCGGGTCTGGACCAGCCTCTCCTCTCAAACACCCTGGTCTGCGTCCCAACCCTTGACCTGTTCGGCTGCCAGATCTCAGATCACCTTTCTACCTTCTGGGCCTTTCAGGCTTAGGCCCCTCAGTTTTCCTCATTCAGTCCGACCTCCTAGTCCCCAGGGTCCTGGTCTCCTTTCTTGGCCGTGATCCCTCACCCCCTTTCTCTTGCCAGGTTCCTGGATGCCTACGCCGAGCACAAGTTACGGTTCTGGGCAGTGACAGCCGAGAACGAGCCTACTGCAGGGCTGCTTAGCGGGTACCCCTTCCAGTGCTTGGGTTTCACTCCTGAGCACCAGCGAGACTTCATTGCCCGTGACCTGGGTCCCATCCTCGCCAACAGCACACACCGCGACGTCCGACTGTTCATGCTGGATGACCAGCGCCTGCTGTTGCCTCGCTGGGCCCAGGTGGTAAGGACCAGGACTCCCGTGGGTACCTGGTTGTTTGGATGCTCAGTTGTGACTGACTCTTTTTTGACCCCGTGGACTATAACCCTCCAGGCTCCTCTGTCCATGGGATTTCCCAGGCAAGAATACCAGAGTGAGTTGCCATTTCCTTCCCCAAGGGATCTTCCTGACCCAGGGATTGAACCTATATCTCCTTCTTGGCTGGCAGATTCTTTACCACTGAGCCACCTGGGAAGCCCTTAGTACCCTAGCGACCCCAAATCCAGCATCCAGATGATTAGCTCCCGAACAGAGTGCCTTCCCTGCCCCAACTTTTGATTCCTAGAGTATCCTGGCTGGGGCCAGGTGCTCAGATGGCACTCCTGGGATGCTGGGGGTGAACCCCCTCTGGATCTCCAGAGCCCCAAGAATCTCCCAGGTTGTCACTTTAAGTTGTGTTCATCCTGCACCCACCTCTCAGGTTCTAGTGCCTCTTCCAGATCCCTTGTGTAGGGCCCAGGCTCCATGGCTGTGTCTCCCAGTAGCCCTTCCCTTTCTCTGTACAGGTGCTGGCAGACCCAGAAGCAGCTAAGTATGTTCATGGCATCGCTGTGCATTGGTACCTGGACTTCCTGGCTCCAGCAAAAGCCACCCTGGGGGAGACGCACCGCCTGTTCCCCAACACCATGCTCTTTGCCTCAGAGGCCTGTGTGGGCTCCAAGTTCTGGGAGCAGAGCGTGCGGCTGGGCTCCTGGGATCGAGGGATGCAGTACAGTCACAGTATCATCACAGTGAGCCACCTCAGTCTCTCCTTCCACACCGCAGACCACCTTGGACCCCTCACTAATCTCACCAGAGGCTGATAGGGGCCCTGCTCTCCAGCTTTTCCCCAGCTCGCTTACTCTTTGGAGCAAAGTTTGGGGATTTCATGATGTCTTCCCTTCAGAGATCTGTGCACCCCGTCACCTTTTTCTGAATGCTTGAGCAGTTGTATCTGCCTCAGATTTCTCAGTTTCTCTGGTGATGCCTCTGTCCTCAAAACCCCTCCCTCCTTAGATTTTTAGTTTTTGGCTGTGCTGGGTCCTCGTTGCCTCTCGGGCTTTCTCTCATTGTTGCAAGCAAAGGCTACCCTCTAGCCTTTGTGCACAGGCTTCTCATTGTAGTGGCTTTTCTTGTTGTGGAGCACAGGCTCTAGGCATGCCAGCTTCAGTAGTTGTGGTGCATGGGCTTAGTTGCCCCACGGCATGTGGAATCTTCCTGGATCAAGGATGGAACCTGTGTCCCGTACATTGGCAGGAGGATACTTAACCACTGGACTACCAGGGAAGTCCCCTCCTTAGATGTTAAGGATATAAAACACTCCCCTCCCAGGGCAGAGGCCCCACAGCCCATCTCCCTCATGTGACACTTCACTGTATTCACTGGGGGCCCAGTGTGGAACCTCTGTCTCTGCCCTGTTCCTACCCTAGAACCTGCTCTACCATGTGGTCGGCTGGACTGACTGGAACCTCGCCCTAAATCCTGAAGGGGGACCCAACTGGGTGCGCAACTTTGTTGATAGCCCCATCATTGTGGATATCGCCAAGGACACATTTTACAAACAGCCTATGTTTTACCACCTTGGCCACTTCAGGTGAGTGGAAGGTGGGCACTCCCACTCCATGCCAGGCCTAGCATCTCCTGCACTGGGCTTGTATCATCCACTGTGAGGGAGCAGGAAGGTGTGGAGAGTGGGAACCTTGGGAGGCTTGCATCTGTCCCTTTTGCACCGTATAGGTAGGAAGTGACTAGATGGCATTTGAGACAGACAATTCCTGAATGCCTGATGCTGAGGCTAGGAGGCAGGAGGGCAGGGCATACCTAACTGCATGGCTGGAGGCCTGGAGAGTTAGGGCAGATCTTAGGAATGGTTCTGGGGGCCGGTGTGGGGGTGGGCAGGGTGGTGTAGATGGTAGGGAAGGTGACTTCTCAAGTGGGAGACTGATGGAAGCTACCCTCAGGGCTGGGGTCCCTGACAATGCCTGTTCCCACTCCAGCAAGTTCATCCCTGAGGGCTCGCAGAGAGTGGGGCTGGTTGCCAGTGAGAAGAGTGACTTGGACACGGTGGCACTGTTACGTCCTGACGGTGCTGCAGTTGTGGTCGTGCTGAACCGGTGAGAGCAGCGGGGCCTGGGGCCTGGGGACTGGGATGAAGACGAGACAGTGAGCTTGGTGGGATCACACACTCTGCTTCTCCTCCCTGCCTCTTCCAGCTCCTCTAAGGATGTGCCTCTCACCATCAAGGATCCCGCCGTGGGCTTCATGGAAATTGTCTCACCTGGCTACTCCATTCACACCTACCTGTGGCGTCGCCAGTGATGGAGCTGATAGCCACGCTTGTGCCTGGGCTCAGCATGGACATTAAAGGGACACAGTCAGCCCACATGCCGTCTGTGGCTACAGAGGGTACAGCAGGACCAGGGGGAGCTTAAGTGACGTAAGCCCAGAGGCAGTGGTTTGGGTGACTCATTCTCCCCTCTAGTTGGTGCCAGGGGCTGGAGGCCCCTAGGGAAAGGATCGGGAAGCCCCAGTGGTCCTCCACCCCCGTGCTTCTGTGAGCGTGTGCTATGCACTGGTTGCCTGTGGAAACTGGGCCCGGGCCCAGGGTGAGCTCACTGTCTGTACAAACACAGGGGTGGGGGGTGGGGTGGATGGAGAGAGAGGTTAAGGAAAGGAAGAGACGAGGAAAGCCGGACCCAAAAACTGGGAACTGTTTGTCTTTCTTGGAGATGCAGAACCAGGCCTATGCAGATGTCAGCACCAAGGCACAGGCCGTGAAAGAAGCCAAGCACCAGAGGGTAGACTCAAGCACCAGATGGCCCCCCTGGTACCAGCTAGGAAAAATGGCAGCTTCTTAAAAGACAGAATGTCTGATCTCAGTCCATGTGAGCAGTTTTATTTCAGGGGGGGTGGCACCCCATTTCCACCATACCAACAATGGGGAAACACAGGAGCCTCTGGAATGCATGACAGTAGAAAAATCAGTCCCGAGAGCATGAGGATAAATCACTCCTCTTCATCCTCCTCAGCCATGCCCAGGGCCTGGGTGCCTGGGGCCCGGGCAGATGGTGCCCGCTGGATGGAGACAATGCCGCTGAGCAAGGCGTAGCCGGCCATGGCTGCCAGCCCCGCCAACACGGTCAGGATCTGGTTCCGGCGCCGGTACGGCTCCTCCTCAGTCTCTGGGTTCGCTGGTGTCTGGCGTGGAGGTGGTGCCTCAGCTGAGGGGAGAGGAAAGGAGGTGGGTGGGAGGCTGGTTCTTGGATCCCTGCCCACTCTCCCCAGGACTAGCACCCCCACCTTCCCACCCATCCACCCCTTACCTCCTTCCCAGGGGAAGTATAGGCTGAGGATGTGGGTGCAATAGGCACAGAGATTGTGCAGCCCCCGCAGGTGGGCCTGCAGCTTCCCACTGGGCAGCTTCGCCTGTTGCAGCAGGGCCAGGTAGCTGAAGACGAAGGCATCCAGGGAGGCGGGGCTGCAGCAGAGAGAAAAGAGTGGGATGGAGAAGGGGAGAGGTGGGGTCAGAGGAAGAGTCGGCCCTGGGAAGATAGGCTCTGGGCAGCGGGGGACCACCGGGGGAGAAGAGGACACATGGCTCTGGTCCTGGTGTGGGGAAAGTGCCCCAGGTGGCGCCAGCCTGGCCTTGAATGGGACTCTATCCCAGGGCTGCATAAAGGGCACATTGAGTGCCCCACAGCTCAGCAGGCCTGTCCTGGGCCTGGCGGCCCTCCCACCCTCCTGTACCACTGAGGCGGCTCCGGCCCCACACACAGCCCTACCTTCACCAGACACAGTGTCTGTGCCGAGCACCTCCTGTCCAGAGCTTGAGCCCCCACCCTAGCCCCTGTGGCTACATTTGAACCTCTATCTTCTTCCAAGCCACCTATGACTCCCCTGGAGTGAGACTCACGCATCTCCAAAGAAGAATTTCTGAGAGCCCAGGCGCTGAGAGAGAAGAGTCAAGCATTCTCGGGCCTCCTGGTATAGCTATGGGGAGGACACAAGGTCGGCTCGCGGCTGCGGGGTGGGTACCGCCTCCCCTCCCAGGCACTTGCCCCCTCCGCCATCATCCTGGCGGCTCCTGTCATACAACACCCTCCTGTCCCAGACGTACCTCCTTCTCCAGCTCCTCCTCATCCTCAGGCCTGTGCTCCCCACACAGCAGCTGCAGCCGTTCCATGTACTGCCGCTGCATGCGGCCAGGCAGGAAGAAGTTGAGGGGAAAGGGCATAGCCTCTGCATACCACTTCCGGGTCACTTCTACATAGTTCTTGGCGTCTACCCAAAAAGTATGTATCTGCATTGGGTATGTAGGAAGGAAGAGGCTGGTCTGAGCCACTGCACCTGCCTGACCCAGGGTGGGATTCTGGTTCGTTCCCGTGCTGGGTGTGTGTGTGTGTCTGTGTGTTTCTGTGTAGGCCTGGGCACTCACCAGCACTGGGAGCAGCTTCTCCTCCAGCAAAGACATGAAAGCCAAGGTGTCTGCTCCTTGCCGGGCTGACAGGTCGTAATCGGCATTGTACTTCTGTGGAGGAAACGTCCACAGTGAGAAGTGGATGCTGGGGGACTGCAGGGACACCTCCTCAAGGAGGGAGGCCTCTTGACTGGCACCACCCACCTTGACCTCTGAGCACAGCAGAGGTAGAGCAAGGAGCTCTTCTTGCGGAGGCCCCCTCGCCTGGGCCCAGTCAGTAGCCTGTTGCTGTTGGCGGAAAGCCTGGACCTTGGAGCCTGCTGGCCGTCAAGGTCCCGCGCCCACTGGGGGGAGGAAGGAAGGCCCAGCCACAAACCAGGAGCAGCTCCCAGAGTTTCCACGGAAAGCTGGCGGGATGCCTGCTGACGGCAACTTTCTAACAGTAACTTCCCCAATCCAGACACCACAAAACTAGCAGAGCAGAGCTCAGATGCAAGTTGGGCCTTAATCAATGCCTCAGAAACTAGGGGACGCCATCCTCATGCTCCCGGGACCCAGTGAACCCATGTCGAGGGTTCTCTGGCTTGTTCTCTCAATGCTCAGCTCTTGGCCATTTCTTGTTTCATTCCATGGTCCAGGCGCCACCACCACACACACATTCCAACCATACCCCCAGGTCTCAGGCTGCCACACCTTCCTAGGTCCAGTGTCTGCTCCTCAGCGCCCTCCTCCACATCCTGAGTAAACTTTGTCCCCAAGTAACCTCTTGAGTGTGATCGTTAAACCTCTCTGAGCCTCATTCTCCTCCATGGAATAGGGGTAATAATCTTTCTCTCAATATGGCTGTGGTAGGAGAAAACTAGAAACAGGGAAAGCTGTGCTCATATACAAGGAAACAGTGGCCCAGTCCCGCCAGGAGTTTTAGCTTTTACCTGGATCCCTTCTCTCCATTCCTCTCAAGCCTCCATTAATTCCCCAGTTCCTCCACCTTTGGGAAAGTAGAAATGAATAAGAGGGGTCTACTTCTGACAGTATGTTCCCTTTTGGAACCAGACCATGAAAGCTGGAAGAGCCCTGAAAAAGTATCCTGGCTAAGCCCCTGGTCTTACAAATAAGCTCACAGCTCTGATAGATTAAGCAATTTGCCCAAGGTGGCCACATAGCCAATGACAGAGTGAAAAGCACAGCCTGGGCCTCTCTAGTCCTCTTGTAATGCCCTTTCAACTTTCCCATCGTGGTACTTGGCCTTGTCCATCCTGAGCCCCGTATTATAAAGCCTGACCTGGTCCCTGAAAAAAGAGCAATGGCCCTTAGAAATCCCTCTGATCTCATCTTCCACCCCCACCCCCCCGCCACTGGTCTCATCTTTGAGGGCTTCATCTGTTATTTCCTACTCTCCCTTCCATGTGTCAACAGCCTGTTCATCTCTCCCTCCCTGCCTGGCAGGCAGAAAGCATTGTGCCTCCAGCTGTCTTGACAGTGGCCTAGTTGAATTTCTAGCCTACTGCATCACAGCAACATGTCTGTGTCGCCTCCACGAGACTACATGCCCCTTGAAGCCCTGGGTCACCTGCATCTGGTTTGGCATACACTTGGTACTCAATAAATGTGTGTGGCACTGAACTGACTCAACTTCTCTTGCTGGCAGTCACCCTACCCAAACCACCTACCTCTTTTCGAAGGTGGGTGATGATCTTGTGTGGTACTGAGATGACCTCTCCATGACTGGTCCGAAGGGCCGGCAGAGTTCCTGACATTGAGAAAGAAGTATGTCCACCAGACCCTTAGCCACCTATCCACACACAGACACAACACACCCTTGTCTGTCAGCTGCACTTCCCCTGGTACACTCCCTTCCTCACCCCCAGAACACTGGGTACCTGAAGGACTCCGCCAGGGGTTGGTGATCTTGTGCACCTTGAGTGGGGCACCAGTAAATCTGGCATAGGTCTGCAGGAAAGGAAGCAGAAGGCAGAGAGGCCAAGGACATGGCCCACACAGGGGAATCAAGGCGAGAAATAACATTTATTGAATACCTTCTGTGCTATGCTCTACACTGAGGGATTGCTTCACACGAAAAAGGTAGACATTATTGTTCCCATTTTACAACAGGCAAACACAGGGCTTAGAGACCTTATGGACATGTCCCTGATTGCAAATCAGCCAGGAAAACCCTTCCTTCTTATATCCTCTCCTGCCATCTACCTGGTGAACACCTAGCCTCACTCGGAAGCACTGGCCATTCCTTCTTGGGCAGTCTGTTTGGTCTGTTCCTACTTATACTTTGGCATCTGAACATTTTATTACACTTGTCTGCTGATGTTTCTAACTTTATGTAAACAATTCCAGGGGAGGGACCAAATGCTCTTCATCTTTGGATGCCAATGTTTGGTATCTGGAAGAGGCCTAATACCTTGAAATGAGTAGAGTGAAAATGAAAATGAGTGAATGAGTCAAACTAGTTATAAAGCTCTTTCTACAGAGCCTTAGCTGTGGGTGGGCCTTTTGGTTCAATAAACAATAACCTCAGTAAATGGCATTGAGTGAGAAGGAGGAAGAGGAGATTGAGGAGAAGGCAGTAATGCCAAGCCGGAGAACCTTGAGATCATCCAGCCTTTGTAAACCTCCGGATGAAGAAACGGCGCCCAGAGAGAAGGGACTGCCCCAAGGTCACAGAGCCAGTAAATGGATGTTTAAGAACTAAAATTCATCTTCTGAACCCCCGACCAGGCCTCTTCCCATTGCTAAACAAAACCTAGGCTACCAAGGCACCGTACAGAGTTCATACCAGCCAGGCACGCTCTTTGATTGCCTCAGTTTACCCCACAGTGCCCGTACTGAGGCACCCTGGCAAAATTCGGATGACCGGCTAGTCCGGCCCCCTCCCCAGTCCTCCAGGGCGCAGCAGAGAGCGCCGGCGCCACCCCTCACCAGCACGGCCAGGCTGTCCAGGTCCACTGACGGCAGCCCCCAGCCCCCTGACCAGCAGAACAGCTCCATGGGCGCCGCCATCTTGCCTGCCCTCTGTCCCGGAAGCACCTCCCCCTGCGCTTCAGCCCTCCACTGTGTGGATCCGCCCCCCTCCCTTTCGGCAGATCCTGGTCGGGACCCAGGGGAGGCTGTCAGGAGGGCGCGGCTTGTCCAGGCCCGAGAGGCGGCCTGAAAACGGCGTGGGGCGGAGCCGAGGGCTTCTGGGGAGGGCGGCCGCCGCCTGATCCAGAGGTGCCTCCCGAAGGGGGGAAGGATCCTCAGCCCTCCACGCCTTGGAGAATCAGGGCACCCCGATAGAGGGGAGCCCTGAACACCCGAGGACGCGGTGGGAGCAGGAGAAGGGGATTTGTGCTCCATGACGGGTTCTGGGGGCTCTCGCAAATCAGCAAGACGTCTGGGCTGCTCTGGGGCCCCTCAGGGCTCGGCCCCCGAGCGGGGGCTGCGGGGGGGGGGTCCCCCGAGCCGCATGTT